GCAATTATTCCACTGACACCTGCGAAATTACCAAAAGAACTGACCATCGCTGTTTATTGTATTTTTTTAAATGTTCTAGTTAAACAATCTAACACTTAATTATTTGTTATTTTTATTATTGTTTTATAAATAAGTGTCCTTATTGCTTAGCGACTAGTTAAGTTATATTATAAGGATTATATTTTCAAGAAGATTCTGTGTTTAAGTAATAATTATTATTTTTACTTAAACTCGTATATTTCTTGAAAAATAAGCCTACTAATATATCTATGAAATCTTTAAAACTCAAATAATTAAATAAAAGCCTAATAAACATATGAATTTAACTAAAAAAACTATTAACTAAAACTAGAAAGTAATACTTAACCGAGAAAAAAAACCCTACTAATCCTGTTAAGTACCTACTAAGTTCCGAGTAAAAACCCTAGTAATACTATTAAGTTTCCTTCTAAAAACTTGCTAATCCTGCTAAGTTTCCTCTAAAAACTTGCTAATCCTACTAAGTTTCCTACTAAAACTTGCTAATCTTACTAAGTTTCCTACTAAAACCTGCTAATCCTACTAAGTTCCTAGTAAGTACTCGGCGGGAACTTACTAAGTTTTAGTAGGAAACTTATTAGGAACTTAAAAGGAATAGCGGGTTTTTTTTTCTCGGGTTGTCTTCCGTGTGAATAAATAAAAGATGGCGTATAACAAAGACGATTTTTTATACTTGTTTTATTTTTGAAAACTTACTAGGAACTTACTAAGTAATTCGTTTAATCCTGATAAGTACTTAGTAGGAACTTACTAGGATTAGCAGGAAATTCATAAACGTCATTTCACTAATGGAAAACTTAATAGGTTTAGCCGTATTAAGCAAAAACTTACCAGGATTAGCCGTATTAGCAGGAACTTAACAGGATTAGCAGGAAGTTAAACATATTCCTAGTAATATTAGCGGGGTTTTTTTTCTCGGGAACTCAATAAAAAATATTATTCGTATCTCGATATTATACATAAATAAGTTTATTTATGTACTAATTATTATTATTTCTTATTATTATTATTATTATTATTATTATTATTATTATTTTCTTAACTACCTACTGTAAATATTTATACAAGGTAAAAGTACACAAAAAAAAAAAAGTTTAAATTTTGAAAGGAAGTAAAGAAATCATTTTGGAATATTTTCTTCTAGAGTTTGCTTGAAAATGTTTCTCTGTTCTTTTATGTTCCACCAATCTAATGAGTATTTCAAGTTTTTCTTAATATCTTTTGAGATTTTATCCCTCCCCATCACAAAACATATTCTATTTTTTTCATTCTTTAATTTTTCAAAACTTAGTCCACCAATATGCACATCTGCTGGACATCATCTATAAAAGATTGTTTTACCGTCGGATTTTTAAGCTGAGATTGAATAATATCATTTTTCGATTTGTTATCCAAAAGACAAATAAATAAGTTTAGTTTATAATGGTGAAAACATTTTGATATGTCTTGAATTTTAAATAATGGGTGTAAATAGTTTTTGCAATGTTTTGAAAGGTTGTAAAACGATTTTAATGCGCGCCTTCCGATTCTGTCTAGGCTTTGCATTGTTACGTCATTGGTTTTACAAAGTTCCAGACCGTAAGTTAATGTTGGTACTATCAAGGTTTGATATAATTGTGTGATGGATTTTGGATTCCAGATTGAATAAGAGTTTGGACAACTGCCCTAAAAATAGATATTTTTTTCAGCAATGTTTACCCGATCAAGTGAGACAAATGTAGAGTGCTCCATATCCCATGTAAACCCTAAGTGTTTTATTAATTATTAAGTAAATTTATTTGATTACCATCAAGAGATATTGAGCAACTTTATAAATGTCTTTTACCTGTCAGGAGGAACTTTGTTTTATCAGGGTTTAGTTTTATGCAAATTGAATTGCAGTATTCATTACAAATTTTGATTAATTTTTCCAGACCAGTTGAGCTTAAAAGTATAATATAATCAGCATACGCTACCACACCAGTAAAGTTACCATATATAGACGTACCTATATTACTTTCATTTTTAATGGATTTGAGAAGGTCCTGGGTATAAATATTACAAAGGTGCGGCGATAGAATTGAACTTTGTCTTACCCCTTTTTTAAGATGAAATTCATTTGATTTGCAGCCTTGGTATGAGACAGTTGCACTCCTATTATAGTATAATGAAAAGATTGTCCTAATGTTGAAAAAATAGTCCTAATCTTAAAACCTCTCCCCTTTTTTGCACGGTTTTACGGTATTAATACGCGGCACTAATACTCTTTCCGACGGGCAATACTGTGTCAAAAAAAATGGCAGAAAATTTAACCCGAGAGGAACTTGAAAAAAAAATTACAGATATTGTTAGAAAGCTTAAATCCTTACCTCAGCAAACCGATGAAGTAAAATCGCATGTAAAATTATTGATATTGAATTTAATGTTGTACAAAAGTTGATGTACTGATAAATTTATTGAAAGTAAAAAAAGTTTTTCTACTGGTGAAGTTATTGAGAGTTATTTACTTTACCTAAAATTTAAGTGTTGAATTAGAAATAGTTTTTTGTTGTTAAAGTTTATTAAAAATTTAGATTTTTTAAACTTTAGTAGTAATCGACTATTCTAAAATCATACTACATTAAAGTCATTAAAATTTGTCAAGTAATGTATAATTATATAATACTTGATTGAATTCAAGTTATACTATACTTGATGAATTATTCATTATTGCTAAGTAACCTTAAATTGTAAGCAATTTAAATATATATTTTTGAATTAGTATAAAATATTTTTCTCAATTTAATTCTTAACTTTAATTACAATAAATAATTCTGAGTAGTTCTAAATAGTTCTGTGACGACTAATAGGCAAGGTTAGAAATTCATTGATAATTCTTGTAAGAAATAAAGAGAATATAGCTCGGTAAAAGTCAAGCTGGCCAAGTAGTTGACTATATCAGTAGATGCATTAACTTAAGTCTATATATTTTCATAAAATACATTTATTATATAAAAATAACAATTATTTTTTTTATTACACTAAATTATTTATATATATATTTAAGCGTAATAAAAAAAAAGTTTAATGGCTCCACACTTATATGGTTTGGACAAGTTTCTATAATGTCATTTTTCTATTAAATATGACATTGTTAAAGCTAAACATCTTTTTACAAATTGATGCTTTTCCTCTTTTGCAGATCATGGTGAATTTTTATTATGTGTAATAGTGCCGCTATGATGTTTACTATCCAAGGTTTTTGAGCTTTCATTGTTTTGGCTTGAGGGAATGCTTTTTTTGACTGGCCGTTGTTGTTTTAAGTTTTACTTTTGTATCATGAATATTTTAAGAGCTAAATTAGTTGTGTTTCTTTTTTTGGTTGATTTCTTGTGGTTCAACCATCTCTTTTTCCACTTGCTCTCAGTTGAATCATGGTTTTTCATAATTTTAGTAAGTTTTTACTGAGTTTTGGCTGAACAGTTTATGATATGGAAAGTGTTTATTTATTAGTTATAAAAAAGTTATTCCTATATTTGTCAAAGCATATTTATTATATAGTGGATTAAACCAAATAGTATTTACTATTCTTTTCCTTTGTGTGCTACTTTATCTTTAAGGTTGTATTTTATATTAAAATTTAAAAAGTGTTAAAAATTTTGACAATTTTAATTTATTTAAATTTTAATAATTAAATTTTTATTTACATTAAAATTATAAGATTAGTTAATTAAAACAGACTTATTTAGTCTGCAGTTTGTCCGGTGCACATTTATTCCTATTGTAGGCTTGAAAATGATTGGAACTACAATAATTAGAAGACTATTATTTCAAAATACAACTTTACGGTTGATAACAACTAGCTTATCAGAGGTTTGTTTTTAAGCTTAAGTTCATATCCCATTAGTTTTGAAAATAAACTCTATGTTCTTAATTTTAACTCTAATTATGAGAGTAACAGAGGGAAGTGCAGGTGTTGCATTTGTTGGCAATATTTTGTGATGGATCCTGTTAAAAATATTTGTGTTATATTAAATATTTTTAAATTTGTTAAAAAAAATGTTGTATCAATTAAATATTCATATATATATATATATATATATATATATATATATATATATATATATATTATATATATATATATATATATATATATTTATATATATACATATATATTTGTATATATACATATATATTTGTATGTATATGTGTATACAGGCCTCGGCAGAAGTAAATTAGTCCAGGAGCAGAGCTTTCATAAAATGAATAGGAAGCCATGCAAGCTGCTTTTCTAAACAGCTTTTTGCAGGAGCTTTCAGTTTTTGGGCAAGCTATCTATTTATTAAAGAAATTGCTTATTAAATACAAAATTTAATTTTACTCTTGTTGCAAGTATTTGCTTGTAATGTTAACATAATATATATATAACGAGTGTCATTTATTGCACCATGAAAAAATTTCTTTGACGAGCATTTTCTTTAGGTTTTCACACTAGCTATCCATTTATTTATTAGAACTTTACTAAAAATAAGCTATCACATTTTGTAATTTAAAAAAATCAATCTTAAACTGGAACTTTTTTTTGTTTGAAACTTTTTTTTGTTGAAACTGAAACTGTTTTTTGTTTATTCAATAAAGTTTGCACAAGAATTTTTAACTTTTCTAATCAATATCTGAAAATAAAGAAGAAAAGAAAGTGGTTTCTTTGCGAGAGTTGTAAATTTCTCCAGTAAACCACTTTAGAGTAGTATGAGTGTAAGCAAGAGCTAAAAATCTTGTTTCCCGCCGAGACCTGTGTATATATATACCAATAATTCGTATATATATACATATATATATATATATATATATATATATATATATATATATATATATATATATATATATATATATATATATTTATATATATATACATTTATACCAATATTTTGTGTATATATAAACATATATACTAAATATAAAGCGCTTGAAATAATTATTTGAAGGTTGCAGATCAACACTGATTGTCATAAATGATGAAACTTAAATGATGAAAAAGTAAACGATCAAATAATTTTCCGGACGATCAAAATTTCGTGCTATTTTTAAATTAAAAATGTTTTTATTGGGAACTAAAGATTTTTATGATCTTAAAACTGTTTAATTTAGCAATCATAAACATTTTTATATTTTAGTGCTGATTTGATAACTTAAAGATTCTATTTTAAATGTTAAACTTCTTTTTATTATAAAGTTTGATTTTCAAAAGTTGGCAATTAAATTTGATCGTCCATAAATAATTTCAAGTATAAAGTTCAAAGTATAAATTTTTTCAAAAGTTGATCATCATTGGTTGTTAATTAGGTGTTATTTTGAGCACTGATATATATATATATATATATATATATATATATATATATATATATATATATATATATATATATATATATATATATATATATATATATATATATATATATATATATATAAATGTAGATATATATATATATATATATATATATATATATATATATATATATATATATATATATATATATATATATATATATATATATATATATATATATATATATATATATATATATATATATATATATATATATATATATATATATATATATATATATATATATATATATATAGGCCTTGGCAAGGGTAAATAAACAAAAGCAGTGAAATGCTTTTGTTTATTTACCCTTAAAATCTAAAGAAGAAACCTGGATTTGGTGGGCAAAGTGAGCCACCCGCTCAGGACGTGACAATTTGACAAACGTGTGAACATTTGTTAAAAAAAAGACAGAAAAAATGAATGTCACGTTTCCTCACATTTACTTATGCAAATGTTGGCGTTCACTTAAAATTTTTAAAAACAAATGCATTTCAGCAATTTTTTTTTCAAAATAATTATGCAATTGGCAGCTTTTTATTTATTATAAAAAACACATATTTGGAATAAAAAAAAACAATTAGTTACTAAAATTCAAAATGACTTTAAAAGAAACCATGCTAAAACATGATTACTTTCTTCTATAGTATTACTTTCATCTAAGTGCGCAACTGAAGAAAAGAATTTTGTTTCTATCAATCACCTGAAAGGTCTTTTGAACAATATTCAAAAGACCTTTCAGGTGATTGATGTACCTAGCAGTCATAATTTTTGGTTTTCTAACTGATCCAGGCTTATGAGACTTTAGCTCATTGTTCTTTCATTTTGCCATATAATGTTTGATGGTTCTTTCTGGGGCAATTAGAGGCAACAAAATACTCTACAATGCTCTTTGTTTTAGCGTTTGGATGCAAATTACGATAGTTCTACACTTGTTCAATTAATGTAGTCGGTTTATTTTTTAGATATTATTTATTAATTAATCTAAGCAAACAAAACTTTCAGTAAAAGATAACTAACACTTTATTAACAAAACAACTAAAAAAGTTTAGATAACAAAAAATTAAATAAGTTTTACCTTCTCAAAGATTGTGCCAAATTTTTGTGAATAACTTTATATTATATGAGTTTAAGGAAAAAAGTTAAAAATGTTTTTTTACTTTTTCAGATGTATTTAAAACAATATTTTATATTATAAACTGAATTTTACATAATAGCTTTAATATGAAGACATAGTGTAGACTGAGAGAAAGATTTGTAACAAATTACTATCAATTTACTTTTTAAAAATGGCATTTTTATTAGAAACTGATTATTTAAGAAACCAATCAGTTAGTCCAATCTAGTTAAAAATATTTGCATTTCAATTAGCACTCTTTTTAATTTTTTTAATCAATATCTAAAAATAGAGAGAAAAAAAAAAAGTAGTTTATACTTATGATAAAATTATACCTATGCAAGAGCCTTAAATTGTTCCCTTAAACCACTTTAGGGGAGTGTGGAAGAGACCTAGCTTTTGCTTCCCGCCGAGGCCTGTATATATGCTTAGAGCAGTATCAATGTTTGTGGAGGTACTGTTGCATTGGTTAAATAACCATATTTTAAATATCATATGAAAAAAATTATGTTCACATATAAATTTATTTTTTTGTTATATTTAGACAAAAGATGAAATTGCAAAGCTTCTCGAATTAAAAAAGCAACTTGGCGAAGACCAATCCAAACAAAAGTTTGTCCTTAAAAATCCAAAAGTAAAACATATTGAAAGTTTTTTTGTTAAAACCATTATTTTATCATTATTTTTTAAAGAAAGTTTAAATAACTTTTTATTTCTTTGCTACCTTATTTATGTTTCTATTTACTGACTTTAAACTTCAAGACCAATAAAAAGACTATAAATAGACCTAGACTTGGACATCGATGGCATAGAACACAGATGTGGCAAATACCTTTTTAAGCAAATTGAGGTAAATACACAGAGTTGGCCATTAAACTAAAATTTTATTGTTGTATATCTATGTTGTCCCATTATATATAGCAGCTATAACAATAAACTTACCTGTACCTGGTACAATTAGTTTTTAAATGCACCAATAGTTTTTAAATGTACCAGGTATCTAAATTTTAAAGTAGTTGTTCTGTATAAGTTATTCCTTTGCATATATTAGGTCTGTGTTCTATGTCATTAATATTTAAAACATGATTTTTCAACAAGCTCAATGCTAAAATTCACTGAAAAACAGACTGGTTTGTGACATTTTTTAAATATAATATTAAAAACAAAAATAATAAATTTAATCCAAAAGTATGTTTACAAATGCTTGATCTGAAATGGTTTTGGTAATTCAAGTAGTGTCTATCTGGTTTTGTGAATATCATTTTGGCTAAGTCCTTTTTCTTTGATGCAAAGTGTACAGAAATGAAAAGGAATTTTCTTGGTTAGCTGTTCCAAAATTTATATATATATTTTTTTTCTCTATGAAGTTCAGAAGTTCCTAAACATTTTTATATCTCTATAAGTAGTAAAGTTTTGAAGTTGATAACTTTTGAGTCCATTATTCTTTCTAGAGACTTTCCATTTTGATAAAGTTAAGCTATTGTACACCTATTGTTCTTTTGAATGATTCATGAATCTAATTTGTTATAAGAGTTTAGTTTCCAAATGAGATTATTGAGTTGAGATTAAAAAACAACCAATTAAGAGGCATTTTACTTTTTACAATACATCATAAGGATATATTTTTTCACATTAGATCATAAGATATATTTTTTTACGATACATCATAATATATATATTTTCACATTACATCATAAGGTATATTTTTTCACAATACATCATAAGATATATTTTTTTTAAATACATCATAAAATATGTTTTACTGTGGTAAATTCTTATATGATTTTCTAAAACTACTCTAGTAACTAGCTCATGTCAATAGTATTACGATAGTAAAATGCTTATAAATAAACTCTCATTATAAAAAATGCTAGGTCATGGTTAACAATTGCAAAATGTCTGAACATTTTGTTCTAATGTTTATTATTAACTAAATTACCCTTTACAGACTCCCCTATACATGCACTCTGGTTTCTCAGCAGTTCCACTTCTTAAAAAAGTTTGGTTTTTAATATTGATATGAAATTTGTTTTCAACTTACAAAATAATAAATTTTATAATTGAAGACCTCACATCAAAAATGTGTCAACTGGTTTTTGTTTGCTTTTTTTTTTTTTTTTTTTTTTTGCTGTTTTAATTTTCAGCATAAAATCATGTTAACTTGTGGGTTGTTTTTTCTTGTTACCAAGTGTTTTACCAATTTAATTATTAAACAAAATTCTGTTGACTTATAATATGTATCGAGTTTGACTTGACTATAATTTACTCAAATTCATAAGAAATAACACAATGTGTGTGTATGTATGTATATTAATGTTTGTCATTATTACAATAAATTTAGGGAACAAGAGACTATGGACCAAAATCAATGGCTATTCGTGAAAATGTTTTTGATGTCATAATAAAGGTGTTTCAAAAACATGGTGCTGTTCAAATTGACACTCCTGTATTTGAGTTAAAGGTAGGAAACTGTAGCAATTATTAAAATTATAAATTTTTTTGATATAATTTTTATTTTATATTGTTAATTTACATCTTTAAATGTGTTAAACTTTTTGATTTAAATGATTGTGAGCCTAAATGAATTATTGTTTAAATTGTCTACGAATTTTAATGTTGTATTTTAATTGATTGAATTTTCAACTAAATGATTGAAATGAATATTAAAAAATTTGTTAGTAGTAAAAAATTAGTTGATTGAAAAAAATATATATAAAAAAGTGACTTTAATGAAAGAAAAAAAAAAGAACTAGAGAATATAAGGGAGATGACTAGAATAATAAAAATAACTAAGTTAAAAGATTGAGCAAATTTGAACATATCGAAAAAAAAATTTGAAATAAAAACATGTTAAAAATGTAAATTTTAGTAAATTAAAAAATGATAAATAATCAAAAAAGACTTAAAAAAAGATTTCTTTGCGAAATTAGGTGTTTAAAAATTATTATTATTTTTTTAATTTTTGTTATCTGTTTTGTGTTCTGATTGTGTATTTAAACTACACTTTCTTTTTTTTATTATTTGAATTTTTTTAATTTGTTTGATATTTTTATAATTTAGTTAGAATTATATTTATTTACTTTTATATTTAATTTTTTTATTGTATCAATTGTTTGCTATGTTATTATTTTCTGTCCTTATATTTTAGTTGATAATTTTTGTAAATGACCTCATCAATCATATCAACTTTTTTTATAAAGATCTTAAAAAATTTTTAAGATCTTTATAAAAAAAAAATTCTTTAAACATTTTATTTTTTTCTTATAAAAAAAAATAAAATGTTTAAAGAATTTTTTTTTAACTTTCAGTTTTTTTTAGGAAACCCTCACTGGCAAATATGGTGAAGATTCAAAGCTTATATATGATTTAAAAGATCAGGGGGGTGAATTACTAGCTCTTCGATATGACTTAACAGTATCTTTTTCACCATTATTTATATTATCATATATGTTAAATATCATGTTATTTTTGTTTGAGCGTAACTCACTATTTTTCTTCTATTGTTATTTTTGTTTGAGTGTGACTCACTATTTTTATTCTATTGTTATTTTTGTTTGAGCGTAACTCACTATTTTTCTTCTATTGTTATTTTTGTTTGAGTGTGACTCACTATTTTTATTCTATTGTTCAGTCTCATAAATGCTGTTATTATCTTCTTCATCAAAATAAAATAATTTACAAAACCATAATATATAATCTAAATATTTCTAAGATGACTATTTTTGATTTTAGAATCTGATTTTGAGTTCATTTCAGAAATATTTTTTGTTGTTAAAACATATTGTATCTTAAATCTTTTAAAACCATAAAATTGAACCAAATTTTTTTTAAAAGTTTCTTAACTCACTAGGTTCCTTTTGCTCGTTTTGTTGCTGTGAATAAAATAGATAAAATAAAAAGATATCATATAGCAAAAGTTTATAGAAGAGATAATCCCGCTATGACTAAAGGAAGATACAGAGAGTTTTATCAATGTGTAAGTTTTTATTCAAAAATTTAATGAAAAACTGTTATATATATGCAATCATTGTTTTAATTATTATTAATTAAACTATATAATTTCATTTTTATACGTCAGATAAAAGTGTTATATTTCAATTGCTTATATCTAAATGCTGTGGAAAAATAGATAAAAAATACATTACAAAACTTTAATCTTATCACCAGCGCAAAGAAAATTTGTTTTTATTGAAAATTACAAGAAAATTAATATTTCTTTACAATGATTAATAATGTTAAAATAATAGGTTTTCAAAGTTACCTTGTTTTTTTGTTTGTTTGTTTTTTTGTTTGTTTTTTTTCTTCTTGCTCAGAGTCATTTTTATGTGTTTCACTTTTTTTTTTTTTGTTCTTTTTTTTTATGTTGTTGTTGTTTTATGTTTTTGTTTTATTTCTTTACTCTCGAGTGAACTTTATTCAGTTGTTCAATTTTTTTTTTTCACATAGTATTAGATAGAAAAAATTTAAAATAAAAAATTTTTAATTTCAATTTTTTTATTTTTTATTTAAAAAAGAATCAAGTGAAGTTTATCATTCATAACTATCATGTGAAAAGTTTTTAAAGAATTACTAAATAAAAAACATCAAGAGGTTTGATATTTTTACCAAAAAATATTAAACCTTCATGGAATATTTTTTATAAATTGTCCACACATGTAGTAAAATGCAAACAACTTTTTTGTCAAATAAGTAATTGCTATTCGAATACAATTCATTATTTCTTTATTTACCAATAAAACAAACTAAAATGGTTCGATTCACCTGTTCTTTTACTTGTATGACTACTTATGGAAAGTTCAAAGGTTTTTTTTGGAGGTTCTTTGAAAGTTCAAAGGGTTTGTTTTTTATAATATTCTTGACAATTCTTGCACCTTCTAGACAATTCTATCAATATCAGGAATATTTTAGAAGGACATTCAGTATTTAACATAAATCTAAAACTCTCTCAAAAACACAAAAACTTTGAAATATTGTATTCCCAGTCACAAAAGCAATATTTTTGTTGAACAACAGCTATTCTATAATTTTTTGTGGCAAAATGGGTTAAATAAACACTCTTTTAACCCAAGGATAAAAAAAATGTTTCATGGTGTAATTTTTATTAGTGTTATTGTTAGTCGTGATATTGTTAGCATATAAATTTTGATTATCATGTTTTCTATTAATAATTATTGTAAGAATAAAATGTTATTACTATTTGTAATATTTACTATTTAGTGTTATTGTATTATTTATATCTTGTATGTACTCATAATACTGTTTTCTTGTGATTTTAATTGATTTTCGTTGTTTCTTTAACCATAAACAATTTCATCATTTCTTAAACCATGATTATGATATTTAAACTCATTACCATTAAAAACTCTCAAATTTTTTTCAGAAATTATTTTGTTGAGTTTTTATTGACTAAGCAAAGTGTAAAATAAAAAAAAATTTTAATTGGTTTCTACTTATATAATATATAAGTAGAAATCACTTATCAATCTTTTTTATTTAACATGATGCTTTGTCGATAAAAACTCAATAGAATTTTTTCTGAAAATAATCCGTGAGTTTTTACTATATTTACAGAATTATATACTATATATATGTACATTATTTTTATTGTGCAGAAAAAGTACCGTGTAAATACCAGTGCATACAGTATAATACAGTACCGTGCAAAAGTTTAAAAACAGCCATTTGACTGAAAATTTGTACCAATTATTCCTCTAATGTGACTACATAGTATAAACTAACTCAAAAAAAAATAATAACTTGCAGAAGAAATTGTATTGAATTGTAAAATGTATTGAAAATATAACCGTGCAAAAGTTTATAAACAATTGGAAAAATTCAAAAAAATTATTATTTTTTATAATTAATTCACATTTTTTTATCACAACACATTAGTATTTTGTTTTATAGCCAATGCAATTCTCCAAGTCCAATGCAAATGGTCTTGAGCTAAGCGATTCTTTAATAATAGTAATGGTTTCTTGGCAGGACGACAACCAAACAAATAATGATGATGCAGGCAATGTTTTGTAGTATCTACGCTAACTCTGTGTAGTTAAGGAGTTTTATAAATTATTCAAATTCTTTTATTTGGAATTAGCATGATTTTGTCGGTGAATTATGTTCAAACAAGAGCTTTAGAATAATTTTTTTGATCAAGTTTATATTGTTTAAAATTTTTTTTATCTTTTTAATATAATTTTTAAAACTTTTTTATTAATCTTAATTGTGAATCTAAAGAACATCATTTTTTGAGTCTTTAAATTCTCCTTAACAACATTTTTTGAGTCTTTAAATTCTCCTTAACAACATTAACTTAATTTTAAATAAAAAATTTTTGAAAAAGTGCCTTAATCTACTATAGATCCTAGCTCTAATCTGTTCTATAGCACATATTAATTGAATGTAATTGTCAAAACACGAAATTTCAATCAATTTTTTGAAAAAGTTCTAGAATTCCGACCAAGAAAAACTTATAATTAAAAAAGTTTGTTAATGAAGGATCAGAGTAGATCATATTATTAAACTTTGATGTTCATTTCACTTAAACAACATATTTATTTAAAATCCTATTTAAGTTTGGACAAGCAATCATGATTTTAAGAAGATTTTTTAAGAAAAAAAAAGAATTTTGGTCAGGGTTTTTTTTTTACTTCAAACATTTTTATATTATATGTTACGGCACAATTTATCATTTTTAATTTTTTCATCTTTTCATAATTCACAGACCTAATCATTTAATAGAAGTATGTCGTAGTTAGCAAAATATCATACAGATGCTATAATATTTTAAAATTGCCCTAACTACATCAAGAAGGTGTGTTAAAAAAAAAACTACTCAAGTTTTACCCATTCTCTAAGGTCTAAATAGGCTAGAAATACGAAAAACCTGTTTTTTATTTTTATATAATTGATAGTTGAAAAAATTAAACATATTTTATGAAGCTTGTTAAGTTTACTACTTTACATTGTTAAGTCTTTTTAAAATTTTTTATAGTGACTAACATATTTTTCTGTTTCATGTTGTCTGACCTGTTAATCTATAGCCTTCAACATAACTTGATCAGTCTGATATTCAACAAAGCTGGATCAGTCTTGATCTACTTTTCCACATCTTCAAAAAAATCTTAGCTACCTTGAACATGATCCAGCTTTGGACACCTACAAGTTTAGTAAACACAGCTGACCTGCTAATAACCGTTACCTTCAATTTACTAATATGAAACTGGTCAGGACCACTAATAATATGGCGATATAATAATGAAATAATATGAAGTAATATGAAGATTTCAAAATGATAACTATACTACATAAAAATAAATATGTTAGATTTAACAGCATAAAAAATAAAATTTATTAACTAAAAAAGAAAAAAATACTATTTTACCAATTTTTTTGACAATATTTTTTCATAATTATCATTTTTGAAATTTTCATTTGATTTCTATTTTTATGAAATTTTTACATGATTTCAAATATACTTATTAAATTTTTTTTTTTTGAATATATCAGGATCTCATTATATGTTGAACACCCTATTGACTGGGCCAGCATAACTATTTTATTAATTACCTAAAATGGTGCTGCATGGTGATATAAAAGGGCGTGTCTGTTTTTAACAGTGTTCCCTTATTTCAAACGCTGATTTAAAAGCAGCCAAGTCCTTTTATAAGTCGACTGAAAACCATATATAAAAAATGCTGCCATCTTCACCATCTTTTTTTCCTTATTCATTACACAGGCTACCATCTCAGTTATACTCAGGGTCAACAGGTATAGATATCTGCCAAAGACTTAAAAAAATTGTCATTTAGTATATATGAAAAACTTAAAAAATTATTTTTCCCTTAAAACGAAAATTATTGTTAAATATACTTTAGCTATAATTGGCTTTATTGCAGGCTCCATGTTAATAAAAATAAAATCCTGATAATCTACTCTTAAATAGAAAACAACAAACAAGAGATTTTTATAGTCCGCTCTGTTAAGTGTTTCTTTATCTTGAATAAATTGAGTTATTTCTGCATTGTTTGAATAAATAATAGGTATATGGAACAATAAAATTGAAATAATGACAGTTTTAATTTAAGAATAATTAAAATTAACAAAAAATATTTAAAAAATAAGTTTTATGAGTTTTCATTCGGATGTGGTTTGCTGGTTTGTGAAATTTGCTTTGTTGATGGATAAATTTAATTGGGGATGAGGTCTATATATATATAGACTATATATATATATATATATATATATATATAGACTATATATATATATATATATATATATATATATATATATATATATATATATATATATATATATATAGACTATATATATATATATATATATATATATATAGACTATATATATATATATATATATATATATAGACTATATATATATATATATATATATATATATATATATATATATATATATATATATATATATATATATATATATATATATATATATATATATATATATATATATATATATATATATATATATATATATATATATATATATATCAAGCCTTCTCAGGAAAGGCGTGCGGTTTTTTTCTCTCGTACAACCACGAAAACGTTTTTCAAATTAGAGAACATGATCACGGCCGTTTGCACAAGTTTTATTAAATGCGTTACTGAAATTGTTTTGAATTTAATAACTACATAAGAACTTAAAGTAAACTTAAATAGAAAACAATAATAATAGTGTAAATAATTTGTGTGTTGTTTTTATTTTTGTTTTTTCTTAGTGGTTATTATTATCGGCAACAAAATTCATCAAGTCAAAGCCAAAAAAAAAAAAAATGATTTTAGGCGTTAGAAAAGAATGACTTTCCCATATTTAATGTTTTTTTTTCTTTTAAAGAGGAAAGAGCAAATATGTATTGTCATCTGTTTGTAAAATATATTGTACAATTATAATGTAACAAGTTTATATCAAGAGTTAAATTATACGATCACCTTTGCAAACTCTGGTAAAATATTAGATCTTTAAAATATTAGTTCATGCAAAGCTGTGTACTTTGTTTATAAGGAGCAAATTATTAAAAGCTTGTTAGCGAGAAAGTTACAAAAAACAAAACAAAAACAATAAACTTGCAACTACAAAAGTATTAACACTTTAGTCACTAACTGCATTACAAAAGTAATAAAACTATAATAGTGTTATTACATTTATAAAGCACTTATTACTTTTAAAGTTGATTCTTTGTTCAAACAACATTATTAATTCCAAACATATATTAAGGTAGAAAAGCATCTAGAAAAAATAAAGCGGATATTCAAATATTATTAAAAATTTCAGGAACTTTCACATATCACTGAAACAACGTTATAAAAAAGTACTTTATAAAAAGTATAGCATTATGAAAAAATGTTACGTAAAAACGCGCGTTAATTTTAAAATCACTAATGAATAATTTTTATTGGTTAATTTTAAAATTAATGCGCGTTTTTATGGTCCATTAGTAATGTTTTGTCATAATGCTAAACTTTTAATATGATACGTTTTCATAAAGTTATTTGTCACCATTTTATAAGTTACTTTAGTTTTAATTTTATTTGAACATCCACTTTATTCTTCTAGATATTTTTCTACTTCAATTAAAATTTGGAAATACTAATGTTGCTTGAACAAAGAATGAATTTTAAATGTTATAAGTGCGTTATAAAAGTAATAACACTATTATAGTGTTATTACTTTAGTAATGCAGTTAGTGACTAGAGTGTTATTACTTTTGTAATTGTAAGTTTATTGTCTTATTTTTTCGCTAACAAATTTAAGTTAATTCTCCCCTTAAAAACAATGAACACAGATTTGTATAAACTAAAATTTTGAATACTAGATATTTTTGCAGATTTTGTGTTTTGCATTTGCTTAATTCAACCCTTGCTCTTACATTAAAGTTATGCAAATAAATTTTACAAACACATTGCAATTTGTATTTTTGCTATCCTCTTAAAAAAAATTAAGAAAAGGGAAATCATTCTTATTATTGTAGACTTCAAACTGTTTTTTTTTTGCTTCACCTTATTTAATGAATGTAACTCTAAAGAAACAAAAACAAAGACAGTACACAAATTATTTAAATTATTAATTTGTTTTTAATTTTTTCTATTTCAATCTCTTTTTATTATGTTAGTTTTGTTTTTTTGTTTTTGAAACTTTTTCAGCATTATCATAAAACTTGCAAACGGCCGTGTTCACGTTTTCTAAAATATTACAATTGCGTGTGGTCATACGAGACGAAAAACTGCACACCTTTCCTGGGAAGGCTTGATATATATATATACACATACATATCTAGCTTATATGATCATGAAGATAATGATCATGACAATCATGATGACAAATCTAACTTCTTAAGTTCTTCATCAGTAATGATTATTAACTTTTGATAAGTCCCTACAAAGTTTATGTTTAACCTATGTTAAATTTTTATGCTCCAGTATGGAATCTCCTAATAAAGATATATGTTAAGTAGAAAAGTTTCTAAAATATTTTACAGGAATTGTCTGTATAAGATATTGTATCACTTAAAAAGGTTATTATTCTTCAAGACTTATAATTTTCAAAATACACTCTCTTTAAAGCCATAAAATAAAGTTTGATCATATATTTCTAAAATTATACACAACCTTGTCAACTTACTATTTTTAATTGTTTAACAAGACTGCGTGTCCAAAAAGCTTTTTCAGTGCAATGAATGTGGCTTGATAGGATTGAGTTTGTTTAAAAACTTATTCCATGCAACGCATTTGGCCTGCAGCCTTTAGGAGTGAATTTGTTAAATAAAAAAATGTAAGTTTTTTTTACTGTTAAGGAATTAAATAAATATAGATGAATGTTTTAGTTTTTTCAGCAATATTTAGGCACCCTATACTGCATATTCTCATTCAATCTATCATTGGCCAGCACAAGGATATCAGGATGTTAACTAGGAATAAATTTGATACAGCGTTTTAAAGAAATTGGGAATTTTTCAAAATATTTCCCAATCATCCACCCCCTCCCCTGACATTAAAATGTGTTACGGGGATGCATGGGATCCTTTTCTTATATTTTTTCGTCTACTACTTCACTTCAGCGCTGCATACTGGAAAACAAAAATAAAATAAAATACCGTTTGTAGCATTTATTGATGATGAATGCAAAATCAACATAAAATTCAAATTGTTTCGTAACGAAAAGTGCGGTCGTGGCGCAGTGGTTAGAGCGCTTGCTTTATAAGCAGGAGATCCACATTCGAAACGAGCTATGGACATATTTTCGCATCACAGTAAGGAAGGAGGCCATATTCAAAGATATATTAAATATTATACAATTTTATATTATAAAATAGTCAGTGTATATTAATAAATGTTGTGTCAGTGTGACCGAGTGGATAGCGTGCCGAGCTTCTGAGCAAGTAAGCCGAGGTTTGATTCCTACCTCTGGTGACTTTATGCGGCCGTGGCGCAATGGTTAGAGTGCTTGCTTTATATGCAGGAGATTCAGGTTCGAAACAAGCTCTAGACATATTTTCGCTTCATGGTTAGGAAGGAAGCGTGAACTTCCTGGTTAAATGCACTTCCGCGGTGCTCTGTGACATGACCGCTAGATCTTCTTGGGGCACCTAAATAACATCAAAAGAAATGTTTTAAAAATAGAAAAATAAAAAAAGGTTTTTAAAGTAGTAAACATGAGCTCGTAATATTTCACATTTATTGTGAGTTTTATAAATAATATTAATTTTCTCTATACATAAATCGCATTGCGAAATAAAGTTACAATTACGAAGTCTGAGCAAAAACAACTACTAAAGTCGTCTAATTACAAAAGAATATTGATTGCAAGCGATTGCGATCAATATTCTTTTGTAATTAGACGACTTTAGTTGTTCTTTTTTAATCGTAGCCATATGAAGGCTAACTTTATTATATAATATTTTCTGTTGTTGATTGCATTGCAAAGAATTGGAAAAATGAATTTTAGAAACAAGTTGCCGAGAAAATCCCAAAAATCGCTTGGAAAATCCCAATTCTCAAGAAGTTTTTTCCAAGAGACAATTTCTCAGTTGGACAATCGCGTAGTTTACTAATAACAGCGATCTTATTTCAAGTTTTCACAAATAATTAAATTAGTATTTTTTTCCATTAGTTTATAATATTAATTATTTTACAATAATATTTAGAATTATTATTTAACTTTGATTTGGAAAACTTTATTCGGAGAATGGAATTTTTTCACCTTTAAATTGGGACATTTAATTTTATGAGCTTCTGGGAATACCTCGTTTGATGGGGCCCCACAGGGCTAGTTTACACCCTGGATATTTCTCAGTGTTTGAAACCATAAATGAGTTTTGATGCTTTTGATGCATTTGAAACTGTTTTATTGAACTTAAAGTCTTTGATTGCACTCAAAGCCATGCTTGGTGACATCTACCAACAGTGATTTTTTCTATTCGTGGACTGTAAATCTATTCATATTGATCAAATCAGGGATGATATCTTCCATCTGGGTGGCTAGTAGTTCAATTGTAAACAATGAAAGTCGAAATTATGGTTGAAGTTTATACAGTTAAAACAACTTTTTTAAATAAAATTATTTTTTAAATAAAAAGATGTTTGTTCTTTTAGTTCTGTTTGAATCTTGTTCTCCTTAATTGTTTGAATCTTGTTCTCCTTAATTGTTCCCTTTTTGCACTTTTTGAGATTCATTTAATTGGTTTTGATTGGTTGATGGTTTTCTAAACATTTTGAAATCTTTTGAATAGTTGTTAATTAGATCCATCAGTTAACTCTCCATAGAATGCATGTGTCACATGTTCAAATAACAAAACCCTGATATAAAAAGGTTAAACTATGTTAAAGTTTGTAGTTTCCAACAAAAAAGTATTTAAAATTCAAGCAACTTCATAGACGTGTGATGACTACAAATAAACCATACTAATGATTTTTCCATCAGTTTCTCAAATATGGTTGTCACTTCTTCCTCTGCACACCTCTATTACAACAGGATATGACAACAAAACATTTTTCTACAATAAAATATACAAAAAAATTGTAACTGGAAAACAAAGTATCATTTATAAACACATTTTATCTTCATTACATTTATAAACAATAAATTGCAACATTTAATAGTATAATCATAATTCAAAATTTCATGCACAATTTAATTTTAATACATGATGGTTTTAAGTAAAAATGGAGTTACTTGAGATAATCATGTATTAAAAATGAATTGTGTATGAAATTATGAATTATGATTATAATATTAAATCAAAAATCAAAATAAAGATTTTCTTTCTTATTTTTGAAGAGAAATAGTTATGAAGAGTAAGTTTTTTTTTAAATGACTTGTCAAGTTTTGTTGCCAATGTAGTTTTTATATTCTTTCATTTAGGATTTTGATATTGCTGGACAATATGATCCATTGATTCCAGATGCTGAGTGTATAAAAATAGTTGTTGAAATTCTACAAAAATTAAATTTAGGGAATTTTTTAGTTAAGGTAATTAAAAATTTATTGTTTACTAATTTATTTATTATTACATACCATATAACAACTTTTTAAAAATAATGAATATATACTTCTGTGTATATGTATGTGTATGTATAAATATATATATATATATATATATATATATATATATATATATATATATATATATATATATATATATATATATATATATATATATATATATATATATATATATATATTAACTGGATTTAACATATACATTAGGGTGTTTCATATTTTATCAATTTTTGAAATCGAACTCGCGAATCAATTTATAAATTGACTATTTGTATAAAAAGTTTGAGCAAAAAAAAAAAAAAAAATTATTTTTTAGGGTCCCCGCCAGTTCGATTTTGGGCCAAAATTGTCGGGTGTTTTAAACGCCTGGCGGGGACCTTAAAGTTTATCTAAATTTTTTTTTTTTTTAATTGTTATGTTGGATTGAATGTTTATCACATAAAAGGAGCATGTTGAAAAAATTAAGAAATTAGTCTACAGAATATTTTGAAATTGGTGAAAAATCCAAATTTTCTTTCACAAAAACCTATTTTATTACTCGGTGGCGTATAAAAAACTTTTTTTTTCCCTAATAAACTGTTTCCAAACACGGAAAAAACTATAATTTGAATAGTTTTTTTATTAGTGTTAAATTAAGTCTAAAAAAAAATAATAATTGGATCCATGGAGTAACATGCCCTGGACACTAACCTTAATGGCCCCTACTTAATAAACATTAGAGCGCAATAAATTTAAAATCCGGAAATTTGATCGGAAAATATTTTTAGAAAATGTATATACCAAGGTACCTAAATAATAATTTAAAATTTAACAACTACTTTCCAATGCGAAGACAAAGTATTTAAACTAAATTTGCGTTACTAATAATAAGTGCTCAAATATTTTTTTAAATAATATTCAAAATGGCTGAAATTACGAGACTAAAAGCTAGAGCTTATTTATTTGAAGAAGAAAGCCTGATAGAAAACTTAACTCAGATAACTTTTGCAACAAATAAAGAATTAATTCTTAACTTTCAGTTTAAAAGATCTAGTAACAAGTTAACTCCATCCAAAAAGTTTATTGGTTGTACTGATGGGCCCGATAAATTCGCAAAGTGCTCCGGACTTGTCAATTGCCCTGACAACTGTATTCTTTTTGCAGTAAAAAAACCATGGTTAGACGGAGGTTATAAAGATGGATTATTAACGGATAAATCTATAAGGTAAGTTTTATAATTTCAATTTATAATAAAATAGTTATTATAAATTTGTATAATCATTTGAACTTAATAAGCTAGTAGATGATTAAGGCTTTTTTGTAGTACCACTACAACTAATTTCTTTTAGTTGTTATTACGTGTGGATTATAGCTTAATAATACAAAATATAAGGTGCATCTTAAAGTTAATATTTCTATTTTATTTAATGTATTATCATAATTTTTTCAGGAATAATATTACTTGTTTAATCGATAGTTGGGAGATATTAAAGAAAAGTAAGAATAAGGACTCTAAAGCAGCAGAGAAATCTAGGGAAGAATTCAAAAAGAAGGGGGAGCAGGTATTTTGGATTGGTAAAGATAATATTAAGGAAATCTTAAAAAAAACGAGCCTTAATAAACTTTCATACTATGTTGATATCAAATTTTTAAAAGATCAAAAGTCCAGTCGTCTAATGACTTTAGAGAGCAAAGACATGAGATATAAAACGGTAAATAAAGATAAGAAGCCTTTAAAAAGTTGTAATATTAAACAGTTACCCCAAATAGACGAATCAACTACAGATCTAGAACTTTTCTCAGATATCAGTGACGTGAGTACAGAATCAGATATTTCTTTTGATTTATCGCAACCCGGCCCAAGTAACGCAAAACAAGAGTTAAGGAAAGGTTTTGTTAAAGATATTGCCATGACATCAGTCTCAAAAAATATTTCATCAAGAGATTGCATGTATGTACGGATTTAATTGTAAGTTCAGGCGGAAATGTGGCTGATTTTTCAGTGTCTCATTCAACTATTTGGCGAGCTCAAAAAAAATCTATTCGGGAAAATGCTGAGCAATATAAGAAAAATGTAAAAATTGCTACCGCTAAAGCTACTTTTCCCATAATAGCACATTTTGATGGAAAAATTATCGAAGACATCACAGAAGGTATAAAATCGAAAAGAGATCGATTTGCGGTCTCGGTAAATATTGATGGTAAAATGAAGCTCCTTGGCATTCCAGCAATTGATCGTAGTACTGGACAAGCTCAATACGATGCTTTAGTTAAAATACTGGATGAGTATGGAATATGTGATGACGTGAAAGGTTTATGTTTTGATACAACTGCTACAAATACAGGAAGACTTTCTGGTACAAATGTCAGGTTTAGTCATAAACAAAACTCAATTCTACTAGAGCTGGCTTGCAGGAGGCATGTTTATGAGTTACATCTAAAACACTTCTGTGAAAGACAGTGCAATGGAAAAACTAAATCTCCAGAAAACCTAATGTTTAAACGGTTCCAATTAAACTGGAATGACATTAAAAGTAGCATTGACTCTTTAAAGTTTGTAAAATATGATACCCAATCTATTGCTACCACTTTCTTAGAAATCCATAGACTCGATGCTGTAAAATATTGCGAGATTGCTCTAAAAAAAACACTTTTCCCAGAGGAGAAACTCTTTTATAGAGTTGAGAGAGGGTTATAGCCACAAAATAAGTAGCCTCCTCGTTTGTAGTGGCCTTCTCGGCCTTGAGGAGGTGAAGTAAAATAAAACTAAAAAAAAAAAAAAAGTGCAGTCTACGGCTGAGTTTATCTCAATCTTTTATACCGTCTGGTTTTTAAAAACCTCTTTACCTTACGCTGCGCCTTACCAAGATATAAAAACCTATTGGCAAATGACAAAATATAGAGGTTACGTAGAACAATTTGTTCAGAATTCTGAAAGAATTTTAAATGGAATTGATGCCACAATGGTTTCAATGGAATCACATTTATGGTACCTTGATGAAACTTTAATTCCGCTGGCTCTTCTAGACCAAGGTATGTTGCAGAGAGAGAAGATGTTGCAGAGAGAGAAGATGTTGCAAAAATGCTATTTTCGAAACCAGTTCCTGAATTTTTTCGGCATTCCAAGAAATTAAATTTGTTAAAAACTCTTAACTTTAACCTAGAAAAACCACCAAGTATTGCCCAACTAGTGGGAGAAAACTCTTGGTTCATATTTAGTTTGTTAAACCTTACTAAGCTAAATGCTAAATGATAAACTTTGGTTAAACAGCCCAGCACCACTATGGGAGTATATTGAACAGTTTAAGATTTTTTCCCAGTTTGTTTCCAACCTTGCAGTGGTTAACGACGTTTCTGAAAGATCTATTAAAGTTGTATCAGACTTTGTAAATAACGTACACAATGAAGACGATCGACAGGAGTTACTGCTAGCTATTCACCAAAGGAGAGAAAACCTTAACAAGGCAAAGACTAAAGAAGATTTGCAATTAGCATATCAAGCAATTGCAAAATAGATAATATAGTTTTTAAATGATGGCTTTTATTTAATGATGTAATATTGATTTGTAAATATGTATTTTTTATTTAATTATACTTAAACATATCATTCTTTTTTTTTTTTTGATTTTTTACAAAACCAAAAAAAACTTTGCAACAATACCAAGAAAATCATTTAAAGTTGAAAAGCTACCATATACTTTCTAATCTTGAGGCAATAAAACTAATAACAACAATACCACTTTTAACCATGTTGCAGTAAGTTCATTAAGTCTTTTTTATTATAAAAATAACTAAAATAAACAATTGTTATTAGGCTATTAAGGTTAGCTTAAGGGTTAGGTTACCTCGAAGGATAAAATAAATTATATTTTTGGACCTATATATACCTCATTTGACACTATTATTAAAAAAATCTAGGTTATTGATTTTTCCGCGTCTGGAAACAGTTTATTAGAAAATCAAAAATATTTTTTATACGCGATTGAGTGATAAAATAGATTATTAAGAAGGAAAATTTGGATTTTTCACCAATTTCAGAAGATTCTGTAGACTAATTTCTTAATTTTTTTTTAATATGCTCCATTTATGTGATTAATATTCAATCCAACATATAACATTTAAAAGAATAAAAAAAGTTTTAGATAAATTTCAAGGTCCCCGCCAGGCGTTTAAAACACCCATCATTTTTGGCCCAAAATCGAACTGGCGGGGACCCAAAAATTTAAATTTTTTTTATTTTTTTTTTGCTCAAACTTATTTTCATACAAATGGTCAATTTATAAATCGATTCGCAAGTTCGATTTCAAAAATTGATAAAATATGAAACTAATATACATATATACAGGTCTTGTGCTAAAATAGGAGTGATGTGATGATCGCTCCACGCATGTGAAACATGCCCGTTTTGTTTTAAGAGTATTTTATAGAAAATATTATTGGTTATACTTTTGCTGAAGTGAATATATATTTAAACTGTAGAGTTTGCATGTTTTTAAATAAAGTAGTTATATTCATAATAAAGTCACACATAATTTATGCATGACATACTCGAATTTTAATTTATGTGGTATAGATTAATATTAAAAGTCTCTGTGCAAGAGAGCCAATGATTCATTTCTTCTATTCGAAAGCTAAAGGGTAAAAATATATGAAATCATCCAAAAAAAATAATTTTCGACACCCTTACGTCTCAGAATTTGTTTATTTTTACACCACTTGCAGTCCATATCAAAAAAATAATAACTGCGAAAATTTTAGTTAAAAATACCAATGGGTTCCATAGATATTGTCACTTGAAATAATGCTGACTCAGCATTTTAGTGATTTTCTGAAGCGACTACAAAGCAACCTTGACATATAGTATCTTCATAATGGCTTGGAGAAATTTCCTAAAATTTGGTACTCTAATAGATTTTAACTTGAGGAATCCAAAAATAGCACTCTTAAGACTCGATTATCTCAAGAAATGCCTCATTTATCCAATTTTGTTC